CATGAGATTTGTAGTTTCACCACAGGTGCCATGGTTGCTTACCCCTGGTATACACCTTTATACTCTGCATTGTAACCAAGAAAACTGTAACAAAGACAATTACTACACGTTAACTACTCTACTAACACTATACCTACTCTGAGTACAATAATAAAAATCCAAAAGTGAGAACAGCATAATGGCCACAGCACGTGTATAGACCAAGGAACTCAAACACACAGATCTCACCCATCACAATCCCCGAGACATATAAGAAAACGTCAAGCTGGGTTCACACCTAGGCATTGTCGTTTTTGCACGTTTCAGCGTGTGGTTACTCATGCGTTTGGCACATTTCTACACGTTTGACTGGCAGCTTAAGAAAGATTGCGGGAAATGGATTAACACGCGTACAAACGCGCACATAAATGTGCAACCTGCTTCTGCCACGCAATGTCTGGCATTTCTATTGAAATCTATGGGGGGGGAGGGGGGTTGTGCTTTTAAAGCTCATGCATCTTTTCGGGTGTTTGGCGTTTTCCTGCTCAGGTGTGAACAGGGGCCATTGAAAGTCATGGGATTTTTTGGGTTAGACGCTTAATAGTGCTTTCCCAGCTGCTCAAAAACACCCACCAAAAAGTAGGATTTTTAGAGACACCAGAAATGACTCACACAAAAGTAACACTTATTTTATTGCATAGTGTCCATGTTTGGAAACAATGACATTGTAAATCTGTCTTTGGGTGTCAACCTTCATGGAGAGAAATACATAGCCTGGCATTGCTGATCGTATGGCTTTAATGCATACATCTAGTGAAAGCATGGCAACCAGCAGTCCCCGACCTCCCTGCTTGTATGCTTGTTGTGGGCCAGTAACGTAGAATGTACTGAAGCCATAAGATCATCATAAAAGCCAGATATAGATTGCATGTTTGGTGCAGGTCTGGTAAGGGGTGCAGCAATTTATTTGAAATTGCAATGGATATTTTGTTCCCTCATTCCCCTTTCTTCCTCCCCCTGGTTTTTCTCTGTACCAGTGGTGGTCAAACTCCAGCCATCCAGCTGTTGTGAAACTATAAGTCCCATGAGGCATTGCAAGATTTTTTTCAGTCTCAGGCTCCCAGACACAGATGCACAATGTCATATGTAGTTTTAGCACAGCTGTAGAGCCAGTTTGCCCACCCCTTCTCTATACAGTGGTGTGGACCCTTTAAGGTTTCCTGGCAGCTTACCTGGCTTAGGTCTTCCTTGGGGGAAAACTCTTTGTGCCTCTTGCAGCCAGATAATATGGATTCGACTATGGCTTAGCGTCACCCGATCCACAAAACCGCAAGCTCCCCTCCCTCTTTGCCATGGCACTTTTATGCGATATGTCTCCTTGCTTAAGGGGGGGAGCGCAAGTAATGTTTGCCTGATTCCATTATGATCCAAGCATGTCATCATGTGTCCTTTTTATGGTGCTAGAGTTATGTTGTTGGTTTTAGTCCCATGTTACTTAGAGGGACTGAAACCAGACACAGCCAGGCAACTATCTTCAGAAGGAGGTAATCAATGGCAGTATACATCCTGTGACAGTTTACCATACAGTGGGGGGAATTTATCAAAACTGGAGCAGATTTGCACTACAGCCAATCAGCTTCTCTCTCTTTTTCAAAATCTTACCTGAGCAAACTGAAGAGACGCCGATTGGTTGCCATGGGCAACTGCTCCAGATTCGGTTTGCTCCATTTTGATCAATTCCCCCTAGTGTCTAAAAGGCAAAACCTATTTCTATGTGTTGAATAGTAAAGAGAAGTGTTTGTGTGTGGCGATGCACACTATTGTTACCAAGAAAGAAACAAATCCAAAATGTTAAAAAGGATCAGCCACTAGAAAAAGGAGATGAGGGGGAAATCTAAAAATAGGGATCCCCTGTTCTGGTGACAACAGATATTAACATGCACAAAACAGCAGGGCGGCTGTAGAATTTTCTTTGGGACCTAAATGAGCTTTTTTTTTAATGATACTTGTAAAGTCACATTAGCCCCCTCCAAAAACCCTATAGGAAGCAGAGCAGGGAAACATACAGAACTGTAGCGCTCCATCCGCTGGCCACAGCTGCACACACTAGACCCGTATAAATGTGAGAAACGCACTTCCTGAAGCCTGTTCTAAGCCATCACTGTGTATACAACTTGAAGCTTATAGAATCTCTGCCCTCGGTAGAAATTTATCTCATTCCGTGACAAAGAGCAAGTCTAATCCAAGGACAGTTGTGAAAACCGGCAGCCTGGTAACCATTCCTTCCCAGCTATCAAATATTAGGAGTTTGCAGCATCTCAGTATGGAGTATGTACACTGAAACCTTGTTTGCAGTTGATTTCTACCCCAAATGTTAGTTTAGTTAGTGATGGAAAGAAGGATTACCCAAAACACTTCACCAAAAGGAATAGTTTACGCCGATTGCATACTTCTACTGCATTACCATGTATTTGTAATACATCTGTCTGTCAGTGCAGAGAATTTCCCTGGGACATTTATCTGCATGGAGTTAGTATCATTTATCTTTCTGCCCACCCCCTCTCTAGGAATAGGACCCAAACTTCCACAGCTTGTGGTACTGCAGTCACTGCGTAGTGCAATAAGTTTAATGCAGTACTGTACATAGTTCATATAACCAATGTCTTGTCCAAGCAAAGCTATAAGCCCAATGCCTTTTTGCAGCCATTGAGGCAACGGTACATAGGCACTACATAGACTTGGATAAAACCTAGAAGAAAGCAGAACTAACTGAATAAACACGTTTGTTAGTTCTGCTTTCTTCTAGGTTTTATCCAAGTCTATGTAGTGCTTATGTACTGTTGCCTCAATGGCTGCAAAAAGGCATTGGGCTTATAGCTTTGCTTGGACAAGACATTGGTTATATGAACTATGTACAGCACAGAAATGTGTGGCATTTCCAAGCATCAGACAATATATATTTTATAAAATGTGTTCCCATTTAACCTGGCTCAGCCCAATTATCCATTTTTTTTCTGGCTTTACCCAACGATTAATAGATATATATACATAGTATTCCTATTATAATATAATTACACACCACACCTACTAAGTTGAAAGACCTGCATCTCATTTGTAATTTATGAATAAAGTTTGCACAAAAGGTAAATCCAGTTGTGCTTTGTATTCAGATTGCAGAGATTTTTCTTTTTGCTAAATATTGCCAAGCGATACTCTGGTTTGCCTCAAAAACATTATTTCGTATCTTAAGAATGACAACATTCTTGCAGAATCAGTAGGCCCATAGCTGATCTACAAAACTGCTCCCGCCCATAAGGGGTAAAAGGAGTGCAGAGAGGTTAAAAAGCTCAGTATTAAACAGAAGATAAGATGTTAATTTTAGCATGGCGTCTCCTATGCGCCAGACTGTCTACAAAAAAAACATTTGTCAGGAAAGTAAGGAGAGATGATGTTCAGCCTATTTGTGAGCATTTCAGGAAACGAAACTGTTGGAAATAAAGCTTGCTGTAGAAGACAGTTTACAATGTTTGCCAGACTTCCTGCATGTGACCAGAGTCATGGGCACTGTCGACAAGCAGACTGGAAACATGACAGTCTAGAATAGATTATGATGGTTATGGGCAACGTCTCCTACTTTCAGCTCCATAAATACCCTCTTTGAAATAGTTTGGGTCTTCTGTATGACATTCAAACCCATAAAACACCCCATTTGGAATAGTACAACATTTGGAAACACACATTTCATTATACTGGACATTTATTGCAGGTGTAAGAATGACAGTGAACCACAAATGTACATCCCCCATCATTTTCACTTCGTTAAATTCAATAAAGTACATAAAATGCATCCTTCATTAGAAGGGTGTGCTCCTAGCTAGGAAATAAAGTCCAATGTTTCTTAAATAAAATCTATTTACACATAATGCAGTCTATACATAGGACACATCTCAGTCACAACCACAAATACAGGGGTGCCAAGTCTAAGAAATAAACAGCCCTAGGCTGCCTGCTCTTCTGACCTCTGCAGTCAGAAATAGTTATATGCACATACAGGCTTATTTAGAGATGTGCCAAAGGGACACATTTATACTCGTCTATAGCAGCCAATCAGAAATCTGCTTTCATTAGGTTGTCTGCTCCAAGCTGCTGTAATTGGTTGGCTGTCATAAAATCAATGCATATGGTCTTTGCAGCTACCTAGTAAGCATATTAATCTCTATATTGCAAACATTAAAGCTCAGAAAAGGTTAAACAAACCCCAGTTAGAACAAGCATGCTCATTACACACAACCCTGTATAAAACATGCACCAAATGAGACCCGTGTGCTTTTTTTCTTGCATTAACTGTGTCATACAATGTGCTGGTCATATCTGAAACCTCCCCAGGAAAATGTGCAAAACTTCAAGCAAAATGTTCTACATAGTATTAAGAAAAAACATTGAAACCACAAAATAAAACAAAACAAATCTGTGCAAAGCAATGCCGAAAAACGTGGCTTTAAGACGTAAAACCTTCTAGCAGGAATGTTTGTTAGAGATAGTACATGCCTCCAGTCCTCAGCTTCAAATAGGTTGAATGTGCAACAAATAGAGATTCTTCTTCGACTGTATATTACACCCTCCAGTTCAGGTCGCAGCCATTGCAGTTTTCTATTCTGGAAATCGTTTGCAGGAGTCTGGCCACCTCTGAAGTGGTTGTGCGGTAGATTCAATGCCAATACTAAGTCCAAAAGCTGGTTTCTAACTAAAAGCATTCAATACCAGCAAGTAGTACATAGTCTATGTAATAAATTAAATGGTGTACAATCTTAAAAAGTAATGATCCATCCTATTCACCTATTCTTCTAGACGTAGCATTCTTTGGATGGCTACAATTCGATTATATTTTTTTAAAAGATGCTTGTGCTAGTATTTGTTCATCTTCGTCCGCTCACAAATTGAGGAATCATAAAATTAGTAAACGGCAGAGGGAACCATGAGCTCTGTCAGTCCACCGCTTGGTTAATTTTGTCACGAGCCATTTACCAGCAAGTGTAAGGGAACAGAGAATACTGGCTCCAGTCTGACATCCCATTGTGTGGGTGACTCACAGGTCCCTGGGCACTAAAGTCTGTTGGGTAGGAGTAGCCCATGGGCCGATACTGCCCCTGTGTGGGAACCATCCACTGGTCAGTGGCATATGGACTGTACATAGGCCCACGCAGTGTCTGCCGTGTAGGGGTGTCCATTGGGAAGTTCATTCCACTGGTGCGCTCCTGTACAGAATGCTGAGGAAATACTTGAAGTTGACACACATCGGACTCTGGCACTGTAGCAACATCAGGTGTGAGACGTCTAGCTGCTGCCTCACAAGCATCCAAGGAGCCTGGAAGGGGTTGAGGACATCTTCTCTGTGGGCTTCTGTGGAATAAGACAAGCGTAATGTTATTTCCTTTAAAATAACAAAGTGCTGCCAATCGAAGCGCTGCGCAAACTGTTGGCGCTATATAAATCCTGTAGAATAATAAATTGCATGGTACCCAATAGTACAAAGGCAATTGCTCAGAAATGTCACCAACACTTACCTATATAAAAAGCTGGATGAAGAGGACGGAACCTGCTGCTCCTGGTGTGGCGACTGTGTCAAATCTGGAGAGTTGGGATGTAAACCAAGAGCTCCGTCCTGGTCTGCAACCCATTGTGAATATACCTCTGCCGGCATCACACCAGGCTCTTCCTTAACACGAGCAATTTTAGAGCGTTCTTCAGGTGGGAAAAAATAAAATAAAAAAATCAGTTAATGCCTAAATGATCTAATGATCTACAAAGCTGGACTAAGCCACCCAATCTATTCCATACTAAAAACAAAAAATACCTTCATCCTCTGGTTCAGGACTGTCCTCCCATTTCTTCCTTTTCTGACGCTTGCCTGGACTCTGTGGCAGAAGTTTCAACATGTCATCCCTGAGAAAACAGAAGGTGTCAATGTATGCAAGACTGAATTGCTACACACCAATGTAGGCAAAAAAAATGAAAATGTACATTGAAGGTTGGCTCTTGTTCCCACAAACATATGAGAGAACTATAGGGCTGCCATTGGCAAGGACATTCTAAAATGCTTTAGTCACCTTGCGGTTTTCCTGACCATCTGATTTCAGTACCTTGACTGCCTAAATAGAACTAAAAAACATGCAGAGGCCAATTTACTGAAACAGCTGAGAATGTTTTACACAAATTGTATGAATATTCACTTCAATTTTCTGATCATGTAAAAATCCATTTATTTCATCTGCACACGATCAGAAAATTGAAGTGAATATTCACACAATTGTGTAAACATTTTGAACTTTAGTAAACCAGAGTCCATAATCATACAAAGTTCTTTAGTAGTCCACTTTTAGAACTATCCTGCAATGGAGCTACTTGGACTGAAGAGGCAAGTCAGTTTCCACAGGGTTGTAGGCCCCTGCATACTATTTTATCAAATTCTTGAACACATAAAAATAAAAAGAAGTGTACATGCCTCTTGTGGCCTCTTTCCTGTTCTCTGAATCCCTTGGCAAAAGGGTTGTGATCAATTTTCAGTTTTGTGATCTAGGAAAAGGGGGTGAGAAGTATTTTTACATTACTAACCATGTTATTTTCACTCATTGAACATTGTGGTTTACACAGTAAGTCTATACATTTGCATTCCTGTATCAGAGAAGCTTACAATCCATTGTAACTACTACATTAACCAACAAAAGGTTAGTGCCATCTTGGCCAGATGTCCATTATATTCTCCCCAGAGGAAACACTTGTAAATACAGATGGGACATACAAACTAAACCTTTAGGGCTTAGTCACACCAAACCTGGACCAGATCTGCATGAGTTTCTGCACATGCAGTAGCGTGTTTTGCGTTTCAGGCTCTTTAATATATATATATATATATATATATATATTTATTACACACATATACACTGTGTGTGTTCCAGGGCATTTGCATGCATTTTAGAAGCATTTGCATGTGTCCCAGAGCATAAAAATAGGGCATGCTGCAGTTTTTCCACATGCTCTGGAACTGAGCGCTGCAGTGTGAACTAGAGCCCAAAATACCATTGGAATACATTGGATGCGTTCTGTAACTGCTCAGCATCTGCTCCGCACTTGGTGTGAACAAGCCCTTAATGTGCGTGGTACTTTATCTTACCTTGTCATTTTGATAGGCGGTGACTGCTGTAAACTCAGTCTCTGGAAAGCTGAATACCTGCAGGAGTCCCCATCGGGTGTTGTACACATCATCAGACTGAATTATGTGGAACCGAGGTTTGTATCGATGCATTGAATGCAAAATTATCTGCAAAGAGTAAAAGCACTAGAATAAGACACTGATATTTTATAGTAGCATGGCAGTTTATGAGTAAGAAGGGTAGGCATTCCATAACAATTCTTACATGTCCATGTTGGTCCAAAGTGTTGTTGGTCAGTTTTAGTTTTTGGAAGCCGATTGCATCCTTCATCCAGTGGGCACCAGGGGCTGGAGAGTCAGGGTGAACATACGTCCTGCATGGAGGGTGTGGCTCTGCTTTACCTGCTGCCTCCCACTGGTTCTTGTTCCACTATTGAAAACAATAAAACAATGTCTATTGTGGCGATAGATTTAACAACCAAAAACATGCTTTCCCAAACAAGCAATACTCAAAATGTAGAACCTTAAAATTAAATAGAAAAAAAAAAAAAGTAAAACACACATCAGCTACTATTATGATACAGGTTTGTCAAAATCATTGCATACAGGCAAGTAGAGTGGCTAGTAGTGCCAATATATTTCATAGGCTAGTCATATTTACCTTATATCTGCAGCTGTCTAGAGGGACAAAGTCCACCAGAACCACATATTTGGTGTAGGGATGGAGCCCATAGAGTCGAATCTTACATTGAGGGAACATCCGCCTGTAGAGAGATGACAGATAATGAGAAGTCGGAATACTGCTTCTAAGAGTTGCACTGTAAAAAAGCAAAACCTCTTAAAAAATGGGAGATTAATACTGACCCCTCACTTAAAGTGACACTAAACTAAGGAATTGACTCTTCAAAATGCATTCAAGTACCTCAACTATTAACAAAAATGTAACTTATTTGCGTATCACTCGGCCACAGATTCTCAAACCATCTCTGAATTCATACTGACCTGTCCCTCCTGGAGGGTGGCTGCTTGTGTTCCCCATGGTCCCTGTGTGTGTTGTAAAGTAGCCACCACCACTCCAAGCTCACTCCCGTGATGGACTACAATCACACATTTAGTTTACTAATTTTTATGGAGTTTGTAGTCCATCATGGGAGTGAGCTTGGTGCGGAGTCTACTTTACAACATACACAGGGGCCATGGGGAACACAAGCAGCCACCCTCCAGAAGGAAGGACAGTGTCAGCACCAATTCAGAGATGATTTGAGGATCTACAGCCAAGAGATACACAAATAAGAGATACATGTTACTAGTTAAGGCAGACATGCATTTTTAAGAGTTAACTTCTGAGTTTAGGGTCACTAAATTCATGTTTAAGGACAAACTACCTACAGTTGTACATTTAAACTGTGGCAGTAAGAATGAACGATCTATATCTCTATATCACAATGCACAAGACACAGTAGTAGAAGTCATTGGCATTAACACTCTAAAGCCTTTGTGTAGCACTTGCCTGCCAGACTTTGTGATGATCATCTCTGTCCCTTCCTGGTGGAACTGCCTCCATAAATCCAGGTCCTCCAGTGTTGCAGTCACAGAGTTGGGTACGTACAGGGAATCTTGGTTAGTGACACAGTCCATGTCTATAGCTGGCTTCACATCTAAAGTGGAAAACATTAGGTTAGCTAGAAACATGCTTTCTCCTTCCTAAAGATGCAGTTCTTCGTACATGGTTCCTGATAGTTTATGTACTTTTCAGAAGGAATAATGGGAGATTCACAGCAACTCTACAGAAGAAGTCTTGTATTTAGATGTAAGTGTGTCCTTTCATACTACAGTTTATGTTCCAAGAGAAAAAGGACAACAGCCCCAAAACACAAGTCTAAATTCCCAGAATGTGCATCTACTAGTGATCTACACTGACTGGATAACTTATAAAGGACATTGGACTATATTGATCATAGATTTGAATGTCCAAAACAAAAAACAGATACGTTTAGTCCGTCAAATTCAACTGCATTTCCCATCCAGATTCAGGCTTCTTAATTAAAAAAAAAATCAAAATGCTTATTTAGCAAATCAATTTCTGAAAGACACCAAATCAAAACTACCATTAAGCTGAGCAATTGTATCTATAAAAAATAAAAAAATAAACAACAAAAGCATGGCCAACAAATGCCAATAATAAATCCAAGCAGCCAAAGTAAAATAATCCAATCTTCCAAAATGCACTCCCTGCACCATGTGATCACATCTACAAGGTGTTTAGAATATAGCCAATTAGTTTCTCACATCCAAGACGTGTTTGATAGCATTTCCACCTCGATCACCGCAGAGTCTACTCACCAGGCACAGAGTGCATGATCACCTCTAATCCACACCAATCCACTACTCAGTGCTGGAGAATGGCTTACTGGATTTATTAAGGTGAGGGGGGGAGCTACAGCCACATGACTCCACCCACACCTGATGCCCCATCACCACTCTTTGATGTGTAGAGGACACAAAGAGAGGAAGGATCCTCTTTAATGACAGGGGCAGGAGAAGGCTGAGCAGTGATTAGCATGAGCCTGATACACAGGAAACCCTGCAGGGGAAATGCGACTTCATTTAGTGCTAACTCAGTGCAAAACAAACAAGATGTGGCTCAGGTGCTGCCACTCAGGAGATGGTTGATCATAGACTGGCATGCTCTGCCAATAGCTGTGCTGTGTGCCAGGATCCCTAAGTGCATACCACAGGCAGGGCTGCCTGCCAGAACCCCTACATACATGCATACATGCATACATGCATACATACCACGGGCAGTGCTGTGTGCCAGAATCCCAACATACATACATACATACCACGGGCAGTGCTGTGTGCCAGAATCCCTACATACATACATACCATGGGCAGTGCTGCGCGCCAGAATCCCTACATACATACCACGGGCAGTGCTGTGTGCCAGAATCCCAACATACATAACATGGGCAGTGCTGTGTGCCAGAACCCTATGTGCATACCACGGGCAGTGCTGCGTGCCAGAACCCTATGTGCATACCATGAACTGTGCCATCTACACATACATGGAATATTGTAAGTGGTTCTTACACGAGTGGGGGGGGGGGGGGAAAAAATTGGGTTTT